CCCCAAAACCCCAAAACCCCGTAATTCTAATCAGAAGTTTAACTAGCTTGAACTCAAAATAAATATTTATAGCCAGTTAATTAATCAACTTTTTGTAATTTCATCAATCAGTAATTCATCAACTTCAATATCATCTCTTAAATTCGATTTAACCTTAATAAAACTGTCTCTATTAGTCTCAACATACTTCTTCTGCCTCTTATCTCTCCTTACTTGCTTGAAGTAAATCTCAATCTCCTCGTTGACATCAAATTTACTAGGTATCAAGAGCATAAACAGAAGTGTCACTACTGGGAAAGCAGTGGCTATGACTATTAAAATCCAAAGATTTTAGAAATTATGAGCAGTGATGCCCAGAGCCCAAGTAAGGAGCCCACCTAATTAATATGAAATAAGGTAGCCTAGATTAATCACTGCCATTATGAACTAGTAAAACGAAGCCTCTACTTGTTTGGGTGACATTTTAACAGCAAGCACCATAATTGGCATCAAATGCAGCTCATTAATGATTGTGTACAAAAACTGTATAATGTAGTTATAGACCAACGGGCTTAGACCAATATAGTGAGTGTATTGCTCGATGAGTAACATTTTCGATATTTGAACAGCAGCGAACGAGATAGTTGTAAAAAATATCATCTTCTTGAATTAGACATTTCTGAAGAAAAATCTATACATCCAAATCCCACATAGGTTGGCAAGGGAGGACATTAGATTTAGGATGGCTAAGTCACCTGGACTGAAGTTAAGCACATTTGTTTAGAAATAATAGAAGGGATCGTCAACGCCAGGTGCCAGAACAACCAAAAAGATAAAGATCAGTGGCTTGTAGATAAATGGTATTTTCAAATACTTCCATATCTTCTTTATGTTTTCTCTAGCAAGCTGAAGAAAAGTAACTTTAATTAAGGCTTAATTTTCTTGTCCATTAATCTATGTGCAAGGTTGCTCATAGAGAATGATTCCTGAGCAGAGAGCGAATCCTGAGATAACTGAAGTAATCATAAAAAAATCTCGTGTAGATATGTATTCCAAGAGCTTTCCTCCCAAATATGATGAAATCAGCGAGCTAAAGGCTGTCAGCGATAGATATATGGACACATTGGTGGCAGCATTTTTGTTATCGTATTTGGCAACTGAGCTTTGACTTGAAGATCTCTCACTGGAGTTATCATTATTTGCCTCATCTTTCTCGTCTTTCTTTCTAGAGGCTTCAACCATAATTGCTTCTCCAACTAAATTCTAGAAGTTCGTACAGATGTTTATCATTGTCTTGACTAAGATTGCTTGCCATAGGTTTGTTACCCATAGACCTAAAATGATCCAGAATACAGCTTGAAGTGCTGAGAAAAGAATGAGGTATGACTTCCTGCGAGAACCGAATATAGGATAGCTATCAGATATAAATCCGAATATTGGCTTTAAAATCCACACGAAGTTGATAATAGAGTTGAAAAGAGAGAGCTCTGCTGGATCTAGTTTCAAATCGTCTTTAAAGAATTAGTTTATACATAAGGCAGGGAAACTTGAAAATCCAAGGCAAAGTGAAATGATCAAAATGACCACTTGGTTTCTTCTTTTTCCCTTATCTTCACCTCCCTTATCTTATGCCTCATTCACTACCCTTTGTTGATTACCGTCGATTTGAGATTCATTATTTTGATTCTCAGATAATTAAGAGTAGAGTTGAGGAGTTCGATTTATATCGTTCTGGACAGGATCACATTGAGTTTACTCTTAAGAAATTTTTAAACATGAATCATTATTATGATGTTCTTCACTGCTCATTAATAGATTTTATATTACCTCATTCGATCAATCACAGATATTTATCACTTGGGGTTTTGGGGTTTTGGGGTTTTGGGG